TCTAGGTTCATCTTTTTCCACCTTGACCTAAAGCCCCTAAAACTATATTCAAATCTACGAACTCCATGCCCATTTTATGAGGGTCATGCATTATATTTATGAGGCTTATGTACATTGTAGATTAACAAAAGATGTAAATGGAAGGTAAATAAAGGGGGAAAAAAAAAAGACCTTCATTTTTCAATTACTTCAGCAAAATGAATATACAATGTAGTAGACAAATGACCATCTCAAAATTTTCAGTCCCCACAGAAGGGATAAACAAGTTGACTTTTCGCAGTTGAATAAATTAAGTTCTAATTTGAATCGATAATTCAATCCCTAAAGTTGGCTAATAAAGTGCAACACGAAACAATCTTTATAGCTATCTTTCCATTCCACAAAACAACTTTTGGGCAAGTTGAATTATCTTGAGTTACTGGACGATGTAATGTACCTAAGATAATGGGACATAAAAAAAGAGTCAGGTAACTAGGTGCAATACAAAGGGACAGTTGGTTAATTGCAAAAACTGTCATTAACTACCATTTTTGTGTAGAGAGTTGTAATTAGTCTATTTTTTGGTTTTCCTTGTTTATGTATCATCTATATTAACTTTTAGTCCTTTTGTGTTTAAGGAATTTTGAGGTGTCAAATTTCATAATAAATTTTAATGTAGTATTTTATTTTTATCGATTTGGCAAGAAAAAAATAACCTCCTAGTTAAAGAACTCGCCTAGACGTAGATTTTTGGCTCCACCCCTGATGGTGGCCTTTTTCTTCCGTTTTTATAATTTGAGTCATCCTCCAAGGATAAAAACAGTATGATCTAAAGATAGATTAAGAACTTAACTTAAATTTTAAAGATTAAAATTGGAGGTAATCAAGCTATTAGTGAAAAAACTAGTACCCCTATGAAAAATCTGAATTATAAATAGCTTAGGGAATTTGCCATACAAAAAACGGCCAGAACTAGATTGTTGAAAAAGACTTAACCAAACAAAAGATGCAAACCAACCACAAAGAAATAAGAAAAGATGCTCATTTTTCATTTACTTCCTGAAGATGAAACAACAACAAATCTTGGTAATCCTTTGAGGGAAGGAATATACTTTCCCTCATTTATGTTTGGTAAGATGGATGGAAAATTTGAGGGATACATTTTCTTTTGTTTGGTATTGCATTGAAAATTGGATGGAAAAGAAAAATATGTAACCCAATTTGCCATTACAGGTGTGAGCTTACATGAATGCATAAAAGAAGACTAAGAATGGTAAGAAATTAAAAACTATTGTCCTTTAATTTGACGAAATCTAATTTTGTAGGAAGATAAACTTTCCTAGCGCCTTCTTCTACAAATATCCATCAAATATGGAAGCTCCTCACACCAAGTAGTACGCCTCTATGCCTAAGAACGATTTGGGATTTCATAAACGTAGCCAAAAAAAGTGTATTTTAGCAGAGTCAATAACACATTTTTTAAAATTCCTCTCTCTCTCGATCAATTTTTTCCTCCAAATTCCTTGATTGAGGTTGAAAATCAAAAGTTAAAGGAAAAGAAAATGGTTTTGGAGAAGCTCATGGATGGAAAGCTATATATACAACAACTTCATGAAAATGTGTATATACAACCATGAAAATAAAAGGAACCAAATTGACCCAAGAAATTGGAAGAAGTTGGGGGAACCTACCTGTAAGGGTGAAGAAATTGCCGAGAAGAATTGAGGCTGAGATGGCAGACTCCTCTTTATCCTTATGAAGTGTCAAATTGTTTTTGAAAGTGAATGGGTTATTGTCTACCAAAAAGGGCAAAATAATCAATTGATTAATCTGCCATCTTGCCTCTACTTTTTCAATCCGCCCAAAAATAATCAACTTTTGCGCTGGGGAAATGAATTCTACCCGCTTTCCATTCCCTTCTATTTTCCATTCAAACCAAACAGCGGAAATTCTTTCATTCCCTCCCATTTTCCATTCTCCATTTTGCACCCTTCATATTTTTTTTTTGGGAGGGAGCGGATACTTGAACACTTGACTTCAAAAAGACAAAACATTTACAAAGTAAATAGTACAATTGGACCAAAGATCCATTGGTTCCAATTTTCACTCCTACTAAACAAAGTATAAATCATAGAACCCTAATCTCTTTCTCTTGATTTGGGTTAGGGTTTCACATAGAAATCCATTAGAGGTTGAATTGGGTTAGGGTTTCACATAGAAATTGACGAAGGATTTGGCTTAGAGTTAAGGATTTCCTATAGAAATCTTTGGTGTTGGTTGCAAAGTTGCAGGGTTTTGAATTTTGCTATATTAGTGTACGAGAAAATCTTGGGTGTAACAAATTTACACTTACTATGTTGGTAGTATTGCGGTGTAATTGTCCACTAATAAGTTATCAAGTTTATAAGTTAACCTCACAAAAATTCATAACTCCCCAGCATGTAATACATAAACACTTTCATGTAATTATTATAAAATAATTATTTTGTGATTATGTTACTAAATAATCATGTTTTTCATGTTTACCTTTAATTAAATTTATTTATTATTCGTGTCAATCGGTCATATTATTTTGGAGTTTTGTTATTTTGTTTCACTTTGCCTTAGAAAACGTTTGTGTTTTGGGTAATAATTAAGAGAGCAAAGTGACATAAGGCTAACAGTTTCAAGGGACAAAGTGTAATTAACCCAATCGAATATGTATACTTCTCGAAACCCCAGTTTAGCCTCCTCTTTGGAGCCTCATCTTCGACCCACATAGTCCTCTCCTCTCCTCCAACGCCACAGCCCTGCCAAACCCCATAACCACACCACACAAAACCACCTCCACAATTTAACAGTCGAGAAGTATTCAGTTTTAAATCTTAAGTAGTGTTATCAACTAGCCTCAAAATTTTTAAATGAAAAATTAAAACTAGTTTTTGTTTAGTCTAAACAAAATCTAAGTAAAAAAACCAAAAAAGAAAAACTTTTTTTAACACATTTCAACCCAATCTTGTATCAAAGTGGAACATGCATTTTCAAAATTCTAAAAAAAAAAATTACAACTGGTTAATTATAAAATAAATTTCTCACCTCGATCTTGTTGAAAATTTATTGTATAAAATAACCTAAAACGCTTTTGGGTTTTAATATTTTGCAAATTACATCTAATTGTGTAATAGACTAAAAACTTGCCAAAAAATAGTAAATAAAAACTATAAATTTTTTCTTAGAAATGAGGAACTGTGTGTTGAATAGAGGAGAAAGTATTATATTTGGTCAATATATAAATAAATCATCATATTTTACACTTGGTTTATTCAACCCAAAACTAAAAATAAAACACTCACTTTAGGGGACAATACTAATTTACTTAAATTAAAGAAAAAAACTAAGACCATTATAGAAATTATTAAAAATTTAGAGGGGGCAAATGTGGTAAATTAAATAAAATCAAGGTAGCTTATTTAAAGTGATCGAAAAGTGACAGGGACAAGTGGCCTTAACCTCCTTGCTTATTTAAAAGTGCACTTAACCTCCATGCTTTAAAAAAAATTTAAAATACCTCCCTTAAAATAATTACGTAGGTTCAAATACAAGAATTTCTTGGAAATCCGCTAGACCGACACTCTGGAAATTAACACAGTTTAAATGTGCAAATTTTTTTTATTTCCTTATATTGTTTCAATCCCAGCAGTCGAGGGATTTGTTTGTATATAAATAGAATTATTGACTTCAACAGTCCCACTAGTTATGGGATTTAATTTTTTGATATGTAAAAAACAATCCCCTCATCCATGTGATTTGATTCGCCTCTCCTTTTGTACATAAGCTACATATATACAATATATAATTATGCTATTTTGATCAAAATTAGATATCAAAAAGAGTGACAAAATGACATGGCTGCTGACGTTGAGCCTAATCAACTGTCCACGTCCGCCGTCATATCATTTGATCATTGTTTTTGGTTCCTAATTTTGGTCGGTGTAGCATTATTATTATAGAATTACATACCCGAATTCAAATCTAATTCAACAGATCAACCAGATGGAATATAAATAGAAGACAAAAACTATAAATTTGTTTATAAAATATTTAGAAGTATAGGTCAAAGCACCATTAACCCTTTTGAAACATTTCTAAACATCTAAATTTTAAACATTCAATCAAAAAAAAAAAAAAAACGATCCGTCTCAATTTTATGAAAAACGAAACTCTCGGTTTTATTGTAATGATGAAGAGGTTGCATACTTGAAAGCACAAATGAAGATGAGTAATGCAATAAAACATAATTTATTGACCTAATTCACTGTATCTTTTGAATTAACTATGAGTATATCAAATATTGAAAGAATTGGATTTACAGGTTGAATTTCACATTCCACACTTAACCTCCATTCTTAAAAAAGAAAAATTAAAAGTTTAATATGATGACAAAAAAATAGATAAATGAAATAAATCACTTTGAAGTCTGAAGAGAATCGAGCGTAGACAAATTTATCTCAACAAGCAGAGGAGCTCTACCAATTTTTGGCCATCCATTCAATCCCGACTACCAATATGAACACACTCATTTTACCAATTGTTTTACAAGGTTTTCAACGCATTATTTATTTCAAGTATTCGTACTTTATACTCACTTGTGTTCGTGCATGAGTGTGTTCCTCGAGACCATGGTTCAATTATCAGTCGATATCAATATAAGTTGGTTGAGTCGTATTTAATTCGGCACCTTTTGAAAAGATAACGTTACATGAAATATATATAAATCTCGAGTCATTTGATTCATTTCCGAATTATTGAATTATCATTACTAAATTGGCTAATAAGGTTTCGTGATGTCGCAACAATGACCGAGTCCTGCAAATCGATAATTGACAGCAGAACCTCGAACCATACTCGAGACGGACAAAACTTAGTGTACTAAGGGCGACCTTTTTTCAGTTCGTGTCGTTGCTTACATTTTTGTTGGAATTGAAAATGAATATCTAGGTTTTTTTTGGGAACAAAAAAAAGGTGGCAATGAGACGACCAACATGAAAGAAGCCAGCGAACGAGAAGTAAGAACTCAGAAGAGACAGCAGCAGCTTCATCTCACCAGCAATAGCCAGGCAGCGATTAATGCTCAGGCGACACTCAGGTGTCCATTGAGGCTGTTCAGTACTCAGGTGCACTCAGGCGACCACTCAGGCGACGAAGTAAACAGCGACGATTACTGCTCTGCTCAGTTCTCAGGCGACCTCTCCGACGGCGAAAAGCAGCTAAAGGAAGTAGACTACTGCTCTGTTACTCACTCGGCAGTCAATCGATCTCTCTTAGTCAGTCGATCAGTTCAACGCTCCACTGCTCCAGATCTCTGCTGTCTGTGACTCTGTAACGTTAAGGTAAAATTCACAATCTTAACGTTTGCTGAGTTCTCTTTATTATGGAACAAGTTTGAAAAATCTAACTGCAATTACTATATCTTATCTGAGCAGTGAAAATAAAAATCATCTGGGTCATCAACTGAAAAGAAATGAAGGTTGGAACTGAGGAAAATAAACACACTTTAATTATTTGATGTTTATTCTGCACATTGCTGGGTATGCCATGAATTGATGTTACTGCGGTATTATTGTCTATTTCTGATACATTAAGATTGTGGGATTGTGAATTTTTGTGAATTAGGACTGTGAATTGAGATTGTTAAGATTGTTGAGATTGTTAAATTTGTGAATTGAGATTGTAACTTAAGATTGCTAAGTTTATGGCAAATTGTATGCATTTTAGACAGATTTTATATTTTTTAACTAAATTATTATGTTTTATGATTATATATATATATATATATATATATATATATATATATATATATATATATTTATTATATGACCGGTCCGACCAATTGACTCAACGGTTGAACTATTGACCCGGTCCCCTTACTGGTTCGATGACCGGTCCGATTCTGATAACATTGCTCCCTAGAGAGTACACAGCGCCATTGGACCACCAATCCTGTGGTAATAATAACGTAGCTAAAAATACAAGAATTTCATGGAAATCCAATGGAGCAACGGTTACGTGCACACTTTGAAGAATTTAAAAAATAAATGAAAAATACAATTGTGGAAAGGAAATTCGGTTTGACGGAAGTGGAAATCTCCATTTGTTCACTTCGAGTGAAACTAGACCTCCAAACCTTTCACAAGAATGTTTATCTCACATTCATAATATTCATTTCATTAATAATGATGTCTTTAAATACATAATGAAAGTAACTATATAGATAACCAACATACCTTAGTTACCCTATTAACTAGATAACCACCTAAAAAACTTTCCACAAATACTTTATCACTAACCCATTTACTAAAATAACTTTCTAATAATTACTTTTAATATTACATAAAAATATATTAAAAATGTGCACATAACATTGACACATTGGAAATTCACTGGACATCACATTCTGCAGAATTTTTTATTTCATTATATTATATCAATCCCAACAATCAAGGGATTTGTTTTCTTCATCAGGTTGTGCACTTTTCTTCTGCACCCTTCCTCTCCCAAACGCAGACACACCATGATTGTTCCCATTGCAAACTAGCGGTACTCTGTTTCTTCATCAACAGGTACTCTATTCCTCTTTTCGGATAATATTTGCGTTCTTTTGGTTTTTTTTGCTTGATGAGGGAAACGAAATTGGGATTCTTAAACCTTTGGTTATAAAATTTGCCGTAAGGAGATCAGTGGGTTAGAATTGCAGGCATGTTTTCTTATATCTGATTTCCAAAGGCACCCCTCCTAAAATTCTACCAACTTCGGCATGTGTTATTAGTTATGGATTGTGTCAAACTTAGCGATTTTGTTGTGATTGTGTTGAATTTTTAATCTAATGGGAGAAGTACTAACTTAGTGTTTGATATAATTGCTGTTTCTTATTTGGTGCTTATTCTGTTGGTTTTTAGTTTGTGATTGTTTTACAACTAAACATGTCTTGCTACATGAAATGCAATCAACGTCTGATCAATTTTTGAGCCTTGCAGTGTTTAGTCGTGTACAGTTATAGGATGTATTTCGGCTAACTCTCTTTGCTCAATTTATTGATCATAGAGTAGTTCTTGAGTAAGGCTTATAGGTGTTTTCTTCCGTATTAATTGATATCCTTTTCAATCTTTTTAGTTCTGTAAAAGGTTTATTTGGCTGCCTTTGTAAACTGCTCTCCAATCTATTCGACTTTTATCTTAGAAGCAATTTACGAATTTTTACACTTATCTTTGTTTATGGCCAATTTTCACCCTTTCCAATCATTTTATTCCTACATGCCAGTATCATGTTATTTTAGTCTATTAGATATGGTTTCCATTTTTGTGGGTTGTTAATGAGTTTGTTCATTGGAAGTTGCATCATTAGGTTGTCATTGACATTAATGATTTGGAATGTTGGTTCTTGGGAAAAAATAGTGTCTTCTGTATTATGTTTCATGGTATGATATGTTGTGAAGGGGTAAAATTAGAGAACAAAGGTGGATCCAAATGATAGCACCCACCATGGATCCGAATGTGTCCTATTATGTTCAGGTGGGTCTCTTGCCATTACCTATACATGGTTGGTGATGATCTAACATTACAAGAAATTGAATAGGAGTACACTATAGCAACTATAGTGGAATGTATTACTGAGTGGGATCGTCCAGTGGGGTACCGGTCGAACTTTTCATCCCGAGGTTGGATGTTCAAGTTTTAGAGTCTACATTAGGACTCGGTGGTTGATCGTTATGTTAGCTTAGGTAGGTTCTTTCCAGAGGGGAGTAACGAGCACAGTCAGGCGCCTCATGATCCCAACAGTGAGGATTTATCAATGTGGTTTATGGGCGCTCTCCTTTGCTTCGACCCCTTTTGTCACCAACGAAAAAAAACCTACAGTAGACTGTGTCTATAGCATACTAGCACATACGTTTAAAACCTTGGTTTGATGTTCGGCTAGCTTAATTCTTTTAATGGATGTATTGGGTTTTTTTTAATTTTTTAATTAATTAGCTATCATGATGCTTATAGTTTTAGACCGTGAAAAAAAAAATCGCACTCAATACACACGCCTTTCGCATACATTGCAAAGGGTTTATGTGACCAAAAAAAAAAATTAGTCAGGCATTTAAGTGTGTATTGTTCAAGCATTGCTAGCAATATTTTCAACTAATTTTATTTTTATAAACTTACCTTTCATATTCTTTGTTAAATTAAAATGGTTTTATTGTTCGGGTCACATATTTGAGTGACGAAAACTCCAAACTCACAGCTTAAAAGTATATTTTTTAATCCTTCTAATGTTGAAAGCCCCCAAATGGTGGATGTTTAACTCTTAAAAAATTTTGCCACGTGAGAAAACAAGGGGCAGCCCCATCATGTGTCAGATTAGTTTGCTCCTTTTATGTGAAAGGTCTATCTCTTGATCAAAGCTATTGCGCTTTAACAAAATGTCATTCATATCATTTGTATACAAACATTGCATAATTTCCTTTTGATCACCATAACTTNGAGGGAGCGGATACTTGAACACTTGACTTCAAAAAGACAAAACATTTACAAAGTAAATAGTACAATTGGACCAAAGATCCATTGGTTCCAATTTTCACTCCTACTAAACAAAGTATAAATCATAGAACCCTAATCTCTTTCTCTTGATTTGGGTTAGGGTTTCACATAGAAATCCATTAGAGGTTGAATTGGGTTAGGGTTTCACATAGAAATTGACGAAGGATTTGGCTTAGAGTTAAGGATTTCCTATAGAAATCTTTGGTGTTGGTTGCAAAGTTGCAGGGTTTTGAATTTTGCTATATTAGTGTACGAGAAAATCTTGGGTGTAACAAATTTACACTTACTATGTTGGTAGTATTGCGGTGTAATTGTCCACTAATAAGTTATCAAGTTTATAAGTTAACCCCACAAAAATTCATAACTCCCCAGCATGTAATACATAAACACTTTCATGTAATTATTATAAAATAATTATTTTGTGATTATGTTACTAAATAATCATGTTTTTCATGTTTACCTTTAATTAAATTTATTTATTATTCGTGTCAATCGGTCATATTATTTTGGAGTTTTGTTATTTTGTTTCACTTTGCCTTAGAAAACGTTTGTGTTTTGGGTAATAATTAAGAGAGCAAAGTGACATAAGGCTAACAGTTTCAAGGGACAAAGTGTAATTAACCCAATCGAATATGTATACTTCTCGAAACCCCAGTTTAGCCTCCTCTTTGGAGCCTCATCTTCGACCCACATAGTCCTCTCCTCTCCTCCAACGCCACAGCCCTGCCAAACCCCATAACCACACCACACAAAACCACCTCCACAATTTAACAGTCGAGAAGTATTCAGTTTTAAATCTTAAGTAGTGTTATCAACTAGCCTCAAAATTTTTAAATGAAAAATTAAAACTAGTTTTTGTTTAGTCTAAACAAAATCTAAGTAAAAAAACCAAAAAAGAAAAACTTTTTTTAACACATTTCAACCCAATCTTGTATCAAAGTGGAACATGCATTTTCAAAATTCTAAAAAAAAAAATNTGTCATATTTCATAATAAATTTTAATGTAGTATTTTATTTTTATTGATTTGGCAAGAAAAAATTAACCTCCTAGTTAAACAACCTGCCTAGACATAGATTTTTGGCTCCACCCCTGATGGTGGCACTTTTTCTTCCGTTTTTATAATTTGAGTCATCCTCCAAGGATAAAAACAGTATGATCTAAAGATAGATTAAGAACTTAACTTCAATTTTAAAGATTAAAATTGGAGGTAATCAAGCTATTAGTGAAAAAACTAGTACCCCTATGAAAAATCTGAATTATAAATAGCTTAGGGAATTTGCCATACAAAAAACGGCCAGAACTAGATTGTTGAAAAAGACTTAACCAAACAAAAGATGCAAACCAACCACAAAGAAATAAGAAAAGATGCTCATTTTTCATTTACTTCCTGAAGATGAAACAACAACAAATCTTGGTAATCCTTTGAGGGAAGGAATATACTTTCCCTCATTTATGTTTGGTAAGATGGATGGAAAATTTGAGGGATACATTTTCTTTTGTTTGGTATTGCATTGAAAATTGGATGGAAAAGAAAAATATGTAACCCAATTTGCCATTACAGGTGTGAGCTTACATGAATGCATAAAAGAAGACTAAGAATGGTAAGAAATTAAAAACTATTGTCCTTTAATTTGACGAAATCTAATTTTGTAGGAAGATAAACTTTCCTAGCGCCTTCTTCTACAAATATCCATCAAATATGGAAGCTCCTCACACCAAGTAGTACGCCTCTATGCCTAAGAACGATTTGGGATTTCATAAACGTAGCCAAAAAAAGTGTATTTTAGCAGAGTCAATAACACATTTTTTAAAATTCCTCTCTCTCTCGATCAATTTTTTCCTCCAAATTCCTTGATTGAGGTTGAAAATCAAAAGTTAAAGGAAAAGAAAATGGTTTTGGAGAAGCTCATGGATGGAAAGCTATATATACAACAACTTCATGAAAATGTGTATATACAACCATGAAAATAAAAGGAACCAAATTGACCCAAGAAATTGGAAGAAGTTGGGGGAACCTACCTGTAAGGGTGAAGAAATTGCCGAGAAGAATTGAGGCTGAGATGGCAGACTCCTCTTTATCCTTATGAAGTGTCAAATTGTTTTTGAAAGTGAATGGGTTATTGTCTACCAAAAAGGGCAAAATAATCAATTGATTAATCTGCCATCTTGCCTCTACTTTTTCAATCCGCCCAAAAATAATCAACTTTTGCGCTGGGGAAATGAATTCTACCCGCTTTCCATTCCCTTCTATTTTCCATTCAAACCAAACAGCGGAAATTCTTTCATTCCCTCCCATTTTCCATTCTCCATTTTGCACCCTTCATATTTTTTTTTTGGAAGGGAGCGGAGACTTGAACACTTGACTTCAAAAAGACAAAACATTTACAAAGTAAATAGTACAATTGGATCAAAGATCCATTGGTTCCAATTTTCACTCCTACTAAACAAAGTATAAATCATAGAACCCTAATCTCTTTCTCTTGATTTGGGTTAGGGTTTCACATAGAAATCCATTAGAGGTTGAATTGGGTTAGGGTTTCACATAGAAATTGACGAAGGATTTGGCTTAGAGTTAAGGATTTCCTATAGAAATCTTTGGTGTTGGTTGCAAAGTTGCAGGGTTTTGAATTTTGCTATATTAGTGTACGAGAAAATCTTGGGTGTAACAAATTTACACTTACTATGTTGGTAGTATTGCGGTGTAATTGTCCACTAATAAGTTATCAAGTTTATAAGTTAACCCCACAAAAATTCATAACTCCCCAGCATGTAATACATAAACACTTTCATGTAATTATTATAAAATAATTATTTTGTGATTATGTTACTAAATAATCATGTTTTTCATGTTTACCTTTAATTAAATTTATTTATTATTCGTGTCAATCGGTCATATTATTTTGGAGTTTTGTTATTTTGTTTCACTTTGCCTTAGAAAACGTTTGTGTTTTGGGTAATAATTAAGAGAGCAAAGTGACATAAGGCTAACAGTTTCAAGGGACAAAGTGTAATTAACCCAATCGAATATGTATACTTCTCGAAACCCCAGTTTAGCCTCCTCTTTGGAGCCTCATCTTCGACCCACATAGTCCTCTCCTCTCCTCCAACGCCACAGCCCTGCCAAACCCCATAACCACACCACACAAAACCACCTCCACAATTTAACAGTCGAGAAGTATTCAGTTTTAAATCTTAAGTAGTGTTATCAACTAGCCTCAAAATTTTTAAATGAAACATTAAAACTAGTTTTTGTTTAGTCTAAACAAAATCTAAGTAAAAAAACCAAAAAAGAAAAACTTTTTTTAACACATTTCAACCCAATCTTGTATCAAAGTGGAACATGCATTTTCAAAATTCTAAAAAAAAAAATTACAACTGGTTAATTATAAAATAAATTTCTCACCTAGATCTTGTTGAAAATTTATTGTATAAAATAACCTAAAACGCTTTTGGGTTTTAATATTTTGCAAATTACATCTAATTGTGTAATAGACTAAAAACTTGCCAAAAAATAGTAAATAAAAACTATAAATTTTTTCTTAAAAATGAGGAACTGTGTGTTGAATAGAGGAGAAAGTATTATATTTGGTCAATATATAAATAAATCATCATATTTTACACTTGGTTTATTCAACCCAAAAATAAAAATAAAACACTCACTTTAGGGGACAATACTAATTTACTTAAATTAAAGAAAAAAACTAAGACCATTATAGAAATTATTAAAAATTTAGAGGGGGCAAATGTGGTAAATTAAATAAAATCAAGGTAGCTTATTTAAAGTGATCGAAAAGTGACAGGGACAAGTGGCCTTAACCTCCTTGCTTATTTAAAAGTGCACTTAACCTCCATGCTTTAAAAAAAATTTAAAATACCTCCCTTAAAATAATTACGTAGGTTCAAATACAAGAATTTCTTGGAAATCCGCTAGACCGACACTCTGGAAATTAACACAGTTTAAATGTGCAAATTTTTTTTATTTCCTTATATTGTTTCAATCCCAGCAGTCGAGGGATTTGTTTGTATATAAATAGAATTATTGACTTCAACAGTCCCACTAGTTATGGGATTTAATTTTTTGATATGTAAAAAACAATCCCCTCATCCATGTGATTTGATTCGCCTCTCCTTTTGTACATAAGCTACATATATACAATATATAATTATGCTATTTTGATCAAAATTAGATATCAAAAAGAGTGACAAAATGACATGGCTGCTGACGTTGAGCCTAATCAACTGTCCACGTCCGCCGTCATATCATTTGATCATTGTTTTTGGTTCCTAATTTTGGTCGGTGTAGCATTATTATTATAGAATTACATACCCGAATTCAAATCTAATTCAACAGATCAACCAGATGGAATATAAATAGAAGACAAAAACTATAAATTTGTTTATAAAATATTTAGAAGTATAGGTCAAAGCACCATTAACCCTTTTGAAACATTTCTAAACATCTAAATTTTAAACATTCAATCAAAAAAAAAAAAAAAACGATCCGTCTCAATTTTATGAAAAACGAAACTCTCGGTTTTATTGTAATGATGAAGAGGTTGCATACTTGAAAGCACAAATGAAGATGAGTAATGCAATAAAACATAATTTATTGACCTAATTCACTGTATCTTTTGAATTAACTATGAGTATATCAAATATTGAAAGAATTGGATTTACAGGTTGAATTTCACATTCCACACTTAACCTCCATTCTTAAAAAAGAAAAATTAAAAGTTTAATATGATGACAAAAAAATAGATAAATGAAATAAATCACTTTGAAGTCTGAAGAGAATCGAGCGTAGACAAATTTATCTCAACAAGCAGAGGAGCTCTACCAATTTTTGGCCATCCATTCAATCCCGACTACCAATATGAACACACTCATTTTACCAATTGTTTTACAAGGTTTTCAACGCATTATTTATTTCAAGTATTCGTACTTTATACTCACTTGTGTTCGTGCATGAGTGTGTTCCTCGAGACCATGGTTCAATTATCAGTCGATATCAATATAAGTTGGTTGAGTCGTATTTAATTCGGCACCTTTTGAAAAGATAACGTTACATGAAATATATATAAATCTCGAGTCATTTGATTCATTTCCGAATTATTGAATTATCATTACTAAATTGGCTAATAAGGTTTCGTGATGTCGCAACAATGACCGAGTCCTGCAAATCGATAATTGACAGCAGAACCTCGAACCATACTCGAGACGGACAAAACTTAGTGTACTAAGGGCGACCTTTTTTCAGTTCGTGTCGTTGCTTACATTTTTGTTGGAATTGAAAATGAATATCTAGGTTTTTTTTGGGAACAAAAAAAAGGTGGCAATGAGACGACCAACATGAAAGAAGCCAGCGAACGAGAAGTAAGAACTCAGAAGAGACAGCAGCAGCTTCATCTCACCAGCAATAGCCAGGCAGCGATTAATGCTCAGGCGACACTCAGGTGTCCATTGAGGCTGTTCAGTACTCAGGTGCACTCAGGCGACCACTCAGGCGACGAAGTAAACAGCGACGATTACTGCTCTGCTCAGTTCTCAGGCGACCTCTCCGACGGCGAAAAGCAGCTAAAGGAAGTAGACTACTGCTCTGTTACTCACTCGGCAGTCAATCGATCTCTCTTAGTCAGTCGATCAGTTCAACGCTCCACTGCTCCAGATCTCTGCTGTCTGTGACTCTGTAACGTTAAGGTAAAATTCACAATCTTAACGTTTGCTGAGTTCTCTTTATTATGGAACAAGTTTGAAAAATCTAACTGCAATTACTATATCTTATCTGAGCAGTGAAAATAAAAATCATCTGGGTCATCAACTGAAAAGAAATGAAGGTTGGAACTGAGGAAAATAAACACACTTTAATTATTTGATGTTTATTCTGCACATTGCTGGGTATGCCATGAATTGATGTTACTGCGGTATTATTGTCTATTTCTGATACATTAAGATTGTGGGATTGTGAATTTTTGTGAATTAGGACTGTGAATTGAGATTGTTAAGATTGTTGAGATTGTTAAATTTGTGAATTGAGATTGTAACTTAAGATTGCTAAGTTTATGGCAAATTGTATGCATTTTAGACAGATTTTATATTTTTTAACTAAATTATTATGTTTTATGATTATATATATATATATATATATATATATATATATATATATATATATATATTTANGATGTCGCAACAATGACCGAGTCCTGCAAATCGATAATTGACAGCAGAACCTCGAACCATACTCGAGACGGACAAAACTTAGTGTACTAAGGGCGACCTTTTTTCAGTTCGTGTCGTTGCTTACATTTTTGTTGGAATTGAAAATGAATATCTAGGTTTTTTTTGGGAACAAAAAAAAGGTGGCAATGAGACGACCAACATGAAAGAAGCCAGCGAACGAGAAGTAAGAACTCAGAAGAGACAGCAGCAGCTTCATCTCACCAGCAATAGCCAGGCAGCGATTAATGCTCAGGCGACACTCAGGTGTCCATTGAGGCTGTTCAGTACTCAGGTGCACTCAGGCGACCACTCAGGCGACGAAGTAAACAGCGACGATTACTGCTCTGCTCAGTTCTCAGGCGACCTCTCCGACGGCGAAAAGCAGCTAAAGGAAGTAGACTACTGCTCTGTTACTCACTCGGCAGTCAATCGATCTCTCTTAGTCAGTCGATCAGTTCAACGCTCCACTGCTCCAGATCTCTGCTGTCTGTGACTCTGTAACGTTAAGGTAAAATTCACAATCTTAACGTTTGCTGAGTTCTCTTTATTATGGAACAAGTTTGAAAAATCTAACTGCAATTACTATATCTTATCTGAGCAGTGAAAATAAAAATCATCTGGGTCATCAACTGAAAAGAAATGAAGGTTGGAACTGAGGAAAATAAACACACTTTAATTATTTGATGTTTATTCTGCACATTGCTGGGTATGCCATGAATTGATGTTACTGCGGTATTATTGTCTATTTCTGATACATTAAGATTGTGGGATTGTGAATTTTTGTGAATTAGGACTGTGAATTGAGATTGTTAAGATTGTTGAGATTGTTAAATTTGTGAATTGAGATTGTAACTTAAGATTGCTAAGTTTATGGCAAATTGTATGCATTTTAGACAGATTTTATATTTTTTAACTAAATTATTATGTTTTATGATTATATATATATATATATATATATATATATATATATATATATATATATATTTATTATATGACCGGTCCGACCAATTGACTCAACGGTTGAACTATTGACCCGGTCCCCTTACTGGTTCGATGACCGGTCCGATTCTGATAACATTGCTCCCTAGAGAGTACACAGCGCCATTGGACCACCAATCCTGTGGTAATAATAACGTAGCTAAAAATACAAGAATTTCATGGAAATCCAATGGAGCAACGGTTACGTGCACACTTTGAAGAATTTAAAAAATAAATGAAAAATACAATTGTGGAAAGGAAATTCGGTTTGACGGAAGTGGAAATCTCCATTTGTTCACTTCGAGTGAAACTAGACCTCCAAACCTTTCACAAGAATGTTTATCTCACATTCATAATATTCATTTCATTAATAATGATGTCTTTAAATACATAATGAAAGTAACTATATAGATAACCAACATACCTTAGTTACCCTATTAACTAGATAACCACCTAAAAAACTTTCCACAAATACTTTATCACTAACCCATTTACTAAAATAACTTTCTAATAATTACTTTTAATATTACATAAAAATATATTAAAAATGTGCACATAACATTGACACATTGGAAATTCACTGGACATCACATTCTGCAGAATTTTTTATTTCATTATATTATATCAATCCCAACAATCAAGGGATTTGTTTTCTTCATCAGGTTGTGCACTTTTCTTCTGCACCCTTCCTCTCCCAAACGCAGACACACCATGATTGTTCCCATTGCAAACTAGCGGTACTCTGTTTCTTCATCAACAGGTACTCTATTCCTCTTTTCGGATAATATTTGCGTTCTTTTGGTTTTTTTTGCTTGATGAGGGAAACGAAATTGGGATTCTTAAACCTTTGGTTATAAAATTTGCCGTAAGGAGATCAGTGGGTTAGAATTGCAGGCATGTTTTCTTATATCTGATTTCCAAAGGCACCCCTCCTAAAATTCTACCAACTTCGGCATGTGTTATTAGTTATGGATTGTGTCAAACTTAGCGATTTTGTTGTGATTGTGTTGAATTTTTAATCTAATGGGAGAAGTACTAACTTAGTGTTTGATATAATTGCTGTTTCTTATTTGGTGCTTATTCTGTTGGTTTTTAGTTTGTGATTGTTTTACAACTAAACATGTCTTGCTACATGAAATGCAATCAACGTCTGATCAATTTTTGAGCCTTGCAGTGTTTAGTCGTGTACAGTTATAGGATGTATTTCGGCTAACTCTCTTTGCTCAATTTATTGATCATAGAGTAGTTCTTGAGTAAGGCTTATAGGTGTTTTCTTCCGTATTAATTGATATCCTTTTCAATCTTTTTAGTTCTGTAAAAGGTTTATTTGGCTGCCTTTGTAAACTGCTCTCCAATCTATTCGACTTTTATCTTAGAAGCAATTTACGAATTTTTACACTTATCTTTGTTTATGGCCAATTTTCACCCTTTCCAATCATTTTATTCCTACATGCCAGTATCATGTTATTTTAGTCTATTAGATATGGTTTCCATTTTTGTGGGTTGTTAATGAGTTTGTTCATTGGAAGTTGCATCATTAGGTTGTCATTGACATTAATGATTTGGAATGTTGGTTCTTGGGAAAAAATAGTGTCTTCTGTATTATGTTTCATGGTATGATATGTTGTGAAGGGGTAAAATTAGAGAACAAAGGTGGATCCAAATGATAGCACCCACCATGGATCCGAATGTGTCCTATTATGTTCAGGTGGGTCTCTTGCCATTACCTATACATGGTTGGTGATGATCTAACATTACAAGAAATTGAATAGGAGTACACTATAGCAACTATAGTGGAATGTATTACTGAGTGGGATCGTCCAGTGGGGTACCGGTCGAACTTTTCATCCCGAGGTTGGATGTTCAAGTTTTAGAGTCTACATTAGGACTCGGTGGTTGATCGTTATGTTAGCTTAGGTAGGTTCTTTCCAGAGGGGAGTAACGAGCACAGTCAGGCGCCTCATGATCCCAACAGTGAGGATTTATCAATGTGGTTTATGGGCGCTCTCCTTTGCTTCGACCCCTTTTGTCACCAACGAAAAAAAACCTACAGTAGACTGTGTCTATAGCATACTAGCACATACGTTTAAAACCTTGGTTTGATGTTCGGCTAGCTTAATTCTTTTAATGGATGTATTGGGTTTTTTTTAATTTTTTAATTAATTAGCTATCATGATGCTTATAGTTTTAGACCGTGAAAAAAAAAATCGCACTCAATACACACGCCTTTCGCATACATTGCAAAGGGTTTATGTGACCAAAAAAAAAAATTAGTCAGGCATTTAAGTGTGTATTGTTCAAGCATTGCTAGCAATATTTTCAACTAATTTTATTTTTATAAACTTACCTTTCATATTCTTTGTTAAATTAAAATGGTTTTATTGTTCGGGTCACATATTTGAGTGACGAAAACTCCAAACTCACAGCTTAAAAGTATATTTTTTAATCCTTCTAATGTTGAAAGCCCCCAAATGGTGGATGTTTAACTCTTAAAAAATTTTGCCACGTGAGAAAACAAGGGGCAGCCCCATCATGTGTCAGATTAGTTTGCTCCTTTTATGTGAAAGGTCTATCTCTTGATCAAAGCTATTGCGCTTTAACAAAATGTCATTCATATCATTTGTATACAAACATTGCATAATTTCCTTTTGATCACCATAACTTCGTAAGTGTTAGTTTCGATATTGATTGAGTATTTTAATTCTTTTTGTAGACTTAAGTAGTTTTGTATCTACGTACATGTTGGAATGCATGAAGTCCTTGCTTGGATTGATGCCAAATTGTATGCGAAAGAAGTCAAAGAATGTGCTTGTTCTACTCACCCTTATTTAATTTACAAACATATTTCACTATTGCACGTTGAATTTCAAGATAGAATAACAATACTAAGCAGTACATCATAAACTAGCTGCTCATGTTTCACACTTACCCATTGAAGTTAGGGTAAATCACAAGAGTTCTCGATGAATTTTTCCTTTAATATTTTCTCATAAAAGAATTGAAAACCACATTTTTTTTTGGTATATCGATCAGTCATAATATTTTTTCCTTTCATGTTCTACTATGAAATGAGAAAGGTGCCAAACTCAAAAGTAATGACATACCAGATTACATGTTTGGGGCTTCTACTAAACATTCAGCCCTTCATGTTCATTTTTTCCAGCAAAGCTATGAGCAACGTGGTGGTGCCACTTTTTTATAAGTTGACATCAAAAGCTTATATACAACAAAACTAAAATACATAACTCATGTTATTGGAGTTTTTTGATTTCTTTATTCAATGACTGTGGTAGGAGTTAAGGAAATATTGAACAACTACCGAGTTGTTATGTCATTGTTGCTACTAATGCAACGCCATCTTTTGGGAATATATTTTGTTCTTCTCATTCTTGGTTTGCTTCTTTGTGGGCTGCAGCAAGTTTGTGTTTGGCAGGATTTTTAAGAGTTAAGACTTGGGATATGACTTCGATAATAATAGGTAATCAACAAATTTAACTGCTCATGTTTGATGTACGTTCTTCGTGATTTAATCTCATACTTTTACTTAACTAAAATGAGTTCTTGAAGTCTGTACAAATATAGTGTCATTACAGTCATGGAACAATGAAGATGATATGTTTGTTGGGTATTTCTTTGATGACCTTATTCATGAGAGGGTCAATGCAACCCATGAAAGCAATATGGTACTTTTTTTATTTTTGGGTTGTTAGGGATGAAAATTTTTTAATTTTGTTATCGACTTTTTGACGTTATTATTATGTTTTGCGTATCCCTTTTTTATAGTTTGTTCCTGAAATGTATTTATATGTATAATGCGATCTATCACATAGTTATTATATTCTTTGTGTGAACTTTGTACCCTCTAATTCCTTTTGGCATGATTCTATTAAAGTCGGGCAATTCTAAGCCAATGTTGAAGCCATGAATCTATAGAAGCCAACTCAATCCTATAACAATGAATTTCACTTTTTTTTCTAGGCACTTATTGATGAATTATGCAATAAAAGTTTGGCATGTCAAATTTCAAGTATATCCTTCTCTTTAAGCTATTTTTTTCAAGTTCTGCAAGCGTATCATTTTCTCTAATTTATTCTATCTATTTTTTATTTAACTAATTCTCAAGGTTATTTAAAGTTCATTGACAAGGAAACGACAAAACCATCCTCCATCTTCCCCAATCACTAGAATATGGTTCTCCTTTCGAGATGGGGCCTCTGGTGATGTTCAAGTCAGCTAAAGCTTCTGCGGTCCCTTAATGAGAAAACTTAAATAATTATGGTTTCAACTAAGAGCTAATTGTTTGTGGTAAAATAATTGCATTGGTGTGTTTTAGTGAGTAATATGTGTAAAATACTAAAAGACATTAATATGGGAAAAATAAATCTTTGCGTAGCTAAATGAGAGTTCTTGGCAACAAGAATTTTGTCTATTTATCATATGGAAATATTTTTCAGATCCAAATGGAAGCAAAAATTTTCAATATTCGTCATGTTGAAATTGGTTGGCCCACTAAGGCCGACCACATAACTCGTTGTTATGTTTCTCTACACCCCTCCCCTTTAGTTTTCTTGAAGAATTTAAAATCAAATTTCTTATACGCTTTGAAACTTAGTTTCACTTTGATTTTCTATTTTTATACACTATTCTGGCAAACTTAGTTCTTTTTTTCAATTATTTTAGTAATTTATTGTGATAATTTGGTTTGAAGTCAAGTGGACATTATGGTTCGTTTTATTTTGATAACTCTTTAAACAATATTCCACAAGACTTTTCATGCTTGCTTTTTCTTTTTAGTTTTGTATTCTCGCATTTGTTTTTTTTTTAAATATGTTATCTTTTACCTATTTTTGGTGGGAGCTGAAGAGACATTTTCTTAGAATTAGAAAGTTTTTTTTTTTTGAATTAAATAGGCTATGATATTCAATTTATCAATTATTTCCCAAATATACAATTGTTCATCTTTATTCCCTTCCAAAGTCTCATGTTCCTAAATGATAAATAGTACAAAAATTAATTCTAAAAACTTTATTGAACAAATAATTATTGTAAAGCATATCACAAAAAAAATAAAAATAAAATTATAAATCAATATTTTTTTACGTGCAACGCACGTGGGCATCAACTAGTATTATGTAAAAATATATTAAAAATGTGCACATAACATCGACACGTTGGAAATTCACTGGACATCACATTCTACATGTGCATAATTTTTTCTTTACTTATATTATTTCAATTCCAACAGTCAAGGGATTTGTTTTCACCAATCCCACTGGTTATGGAATTTAGTTGTTTTATATGTAAAAAGAGTAATGTTATATGGACTTAAAAATTAGATTTAAAAAGTAGACTTGATAATTACAACTATTGAATAGATAGTGAGTCCTTATAAATACTGAGATCCACAGTGAAATCAGTAATTATCAAGTCTACTTTTTAAGTTCACGTAGCATTGCTCATGTAAAAAACATTCCCCTCGTCCATGGGATTTGATTTGTCTTTCCCTTTGTGTATAAGCTACATATATGCAATGTAATAAGATAAAAAGAATTTCAACCACCTCTTCCAACGACTAAAATAAAACCATGTCATTACCTTGAATGATGATCCCAGCCAGCGTTGAGATGGTAGAAAATTAATGCCTTGTATTTGACAGAAAATACTACTTTTTGTTTAATAGTCATGAAATATAGAATTAGGCAAGTGGGAAAAACCACAGGGTTTGGTAAAAAGCTTGTTTATAAATGCAAAGTCTGCGTTCAATCTTCTGCATATTTTTCTTCCAAGATCAGATATATAATACAATCCCCCTCGAAAAAAAGATTTACAGGTTGAAGTTGTTGGGGAAAGTTTTGAAGTTGTATACTTGAAAAGCAAGGTGCAATGAAGGTAGAAATCCTATCAAGGAAGTTGATCAAGCCATCCGTTCCAACTCCACATCACCTTCACCAAAAGAAGATATCCGTGTTTGATCAGTTGGCTCCTCCATCATACACCCCCCTAGTCCTCCATTACTCTGCCAATGGCGACATACGTGAAAACGCCCAAAGATGTGCCCAGTTGGAGAGATCATTATCGGAGGCCTTAACCACATTTTACCCATTGGCTGGGAGATTTAATGCTGATAATCTCTTGATTGAGTGTAATGATGAAGGGGTGGAATATTTGGAAGCCCAAGTGGACTGTAAGCTTGATGAATTCCTCATAGAACCCAAAATTGAGCTGCTAAATCATCTCCTTCCATCTGATATAGAGATAGATAAACTTGATCCTGTCACGAGTCCTTTATTAGCAATCCAGATCAACCGCTTCAATTACGGCGGATTGACCATTGGCCTCTACTTTTCACACATGATTATTGATGCATCTGCAGTTGCATCTTTTATTACTGCATGGGCAAGTTCAAGCCAAGCAGAGGTGGCCAATGAAACCATTCATCAACCAAATTTCGATTTGGGTTCTCTCTTTCCACCAATTACTGGTCAAGATCTTTCTCTAGTCCTCTGCAACCTAGAATCAATGTTGTCACGAGGAGGTTTGTGTTTAACGGTGCAGCAATAACAAAGCTGAAAACTAATGCTCAAGCACTAGCTCAGATCCAAACTAGTGGTATGGAACGCCAACCAACGCGTGTGGAGGTGGTGACAGCAATGATATGGAAGGCCCTTATAAGTGCAGCTCGAGCAAAACATGGGCGCTTGAGGGATTCTTTGCTCGTCCAAATTGTGAACATGAGGGGGAAAACAATCCCACCATTGCCAGAGATTTCATTGGGAAACTTTTTTTTGGCTGCCGTTGCTCGATCCTCAGCAGACGAGAACAAGATGGAGTTGCATGACTTGGTGAGTTTGGTACGAGATGGAACAAGAGATGCCATTGCTAAGTTCGCGAAACTACCTGTCCTGAATGGTAATGAGGTTAGGCTGATGTTGGAAAACCTCCGTACCGAGTGCCTGGGAGGATTGTACAATAGCGAGGTTGATGTGAGAGTTTTTAGCAGCTGGTGCAGGTTTCCACTTTATGAAGCTGATTTCGGATGGGGGAAGCCGGATTGGGTAAGTCTGACAAGTTGTCCTGCAGAAATAGTATTCCTGATGGACACCAAATGTGGGGAAGGCATTGAAGCATGGGTGAATTTGAATGAACAAGACATGCTCCACTTTCAACAAGACCCGGACATTGTAGCTTTCTCTTCTCAGTAAGGTATCCCTAACTTCTCCCCAGTTGATCAGTTGCCATACCTGATGCAAAGTGTCACAATTTGTTTTGTCATATTCGAAAACCCATTTATGATGTGGTGTTACATTATTATTATTTTTTTTTTTTTTTTTTTGGGGGGGGGGGGGGGGGAAGAGTTGTGGGGGGGGGGGTTTTNCAAACTAGTGGTATGGAACGCCAACCAACGCGTGTGGAGGTGGTGACAGCAATGATATGGAAGGCCCTTATAAGTGCAGCTCGAGCAAAACATGGGCGCTTGAGGGATTCTTTGCTCGTCCAAATTGTGAACATGAGGGGGAAAACAATCCCACCATTGCCAGAGATTTCATTGGGAAACTTTTTTTTGGCTGCCGTTGCTCGATCCTCAGCAGACGAGAACAAGATGGAGTTGCATGACTTGGTGAGTTTGGTACGAGATGGAACAAGAGATGCCATTGCTAAGTTCGCGAAACTACCTGTCCTGAATGGTAATGAGGTTAGGCTGATGTTGGAAAACCTCCGTACCGAGTGCCTGGGAGGATTGTACAATAGCGAGGTTGATGTGAGAGTTTTTAGCAGCTGGTGCAGGTTTCCACTTTATGAAGCTGATTTCGGATGGGGGAAGCCGGATTGGGTAAGTCTGACAAGTTGTCCTGCAGAAATAGTATTCCTGATGGACACCAAATGTGGGGAAGGCATTGAAGCATGGGTGAATTTGAATGAACAAGACATGCTCCACTTTCAACAAGACCCGGACATTGTAGCTTTCTCTTCTCAGTAAGGTATCCCTAACTTCTCCCCAGTTGATCAGTTGCCATACCTGATGCAAAGTGTCACAATTTGTTTTGTCATATTCGAAAACCCATTTATGATGTGGTGTTACATTATTATTATTTTTTTTTTTTTTGGGTTGGGGGGGGTGGGGGGGGAGAGAGAGAGAGATTGTGTGTGTGCGCGTGTTATTGTGGCTCCTTTAATTCCTTTTTACTCGCTATTTTCTATAAGATTTTTCATTGCTTATTACAAACTCATGCTTTCATGGTGTAGAAATATTTCATGTAAACAAAGTATGCTAATCAAAACCTTAAGTTTTCATCTTATATGAGTAATGGATTTGAGAATAGAATGTGCATTGCATATTAATACACCTTCCCATATTTGGTAGACAGTTCGGATCCCCATTACTGCAATGGAGATTCATTGTCATTACCATAACGATTACCGATTGTTCCTTAGGTATTGGTCATTACTAACTACTTGGTACTTGGCCATAATATTTTGAGACAACTACCCCACCCCTTAGAACAAATATTATCTTTATTTTTTTGAAGTGATTATAGTCTGAGAATAAAAACAACAAAAACACAAATGTAGTAGTATTAAGGTATAAGTTCGCCAAATGAATCCCCTTTATGAGACCATATGAAATAAATAAATATGGATAACATTATGTTAACAATATCTTTAAAATGATGATAGGAGTTTCGAGTTGTTGTTGAAAGAATGAGCATAAAGTTTGAGTTCGTGCGTATTAACTTTCGAGTCAAGTATAGTTTAAGAGGCGTTTATGCTTGAGAATGGTAGATAAGTACGTTTTTAAATGCTTTTAGGTTAAAATAATATTACTATTGAATCAGGGAGGTTGAAAATTTTTGGCAGAGGTTATATGAGAAGTATTAGAAGTTTGTAGGTGTTCTCGGGTTAAAATGTATTTTGGAAATAATTTGGGTAGAAAGAAATTTTACACTACCTCAGTATTTTGACTATAACATTTTACCCCAATTTTCAATTGAGTTAATTCACGTGGCATTGAAAAGTCTACTTTAAGGGCTATATAAGTGTATTTCATGAATATTTCATGAATCGGCCTTTAACTAGGTCAAAATTGATCCAAAAGTCTAGAGTAGAAAATTACTTGAGCTCGGATGGAATGAGTGCGACTCGCCTATGAAGTTACGGGCAGTGAGTTTGGACCGTCTGGATGCGCTTTTGAGGTTGACCCAGATCAGTTCTTAGCGTTTTCTGTGTTTTTGACTCTACAAACACCCTAGGGCCACATTTTAGGTTCCTATACATGGTTTTAAAACTTTAAGAAGCCTTGAGGAAAAGAGGAGAAACGAGCTAGATCTAGAAGGATTAACGAGTAGTAATTGCACCAAAACGCGGTAGGATCAACTATCTACAGATTAAGGTACAGTTTCTTTCCATTCTTACTCATTGAGGATTAGGACTACGTATATGTTTTTTTTTTTATTCCAATTCTTATATATATGATAGATGTACAATGAATTTGCATTCTTTTCAACTACATGATTCGTTCTTGGAACATCCAAATTGTATGTTTTTTATGAAAATTCCTAGATCTTGAACATGGTTAACCAAAATACATGTTTTTACGATCTTTAGCATGTTTTAATTGTATTACTCTTCTATTTTAAGAATTGTGAGATTTTAAATAGTGAGATACGTGAATTTTATTGAAAGATCGGATATTATCTCTTATATGAGTGGGTGTGATGAGCGTAGGTTACACTCAAATACATATCGCAGAGTGTTTAGATTAGTGTTTTAAAGCCCAGCCTAGCCCGACCGACAAATTGGTACCTGAGTTGAGTTGATTTTTGAATTAGATCAATCGGTTGAACAATTCACCCGCCAAAGAACCATTCAATTTGTATTTATCTACTTAAGTCTTGAAAATTAATTAAATATTGAATCTTTGAAACTCAGCTCAAACTATAAGTTGGTCCACTTGGCTTGCCTCTACTCAAGCTGTAAAGCTATCAAACTGTGTCCACCATTCAATCAACAAAGAGAATTGCTCGTCTTATTGGCACAAAATCCTCATCAATTCATCTGGGTTTCCAATGGGGGATTATGTAGTGTGTCCACAACTCTAAATTGTCTAGTTGTTCTTCTTTTTTTCTAATACCGTGTTGTTATACCTTTGAATTACTTTTTCTTTCTTTCAATTTTTATTTTAATTGTTTGGGGTCATCACACTGTCACTATTTACAATTTTATACCAAATATTTAGTGCTAGTTAGTGAATTTTTTTATGCTCTATCAATGTATATCAATTGTGTAAGCAAATTAATGAATTGGTCTCATTTTTTGTCTTTTTAGTTCATTTACTATTTTTGTAACTATTATAATCTTTAAGCATATTTATTATTACTAACAATTTTTTATTATTAATTATATGACCAGTTCGACCAATTGACTCACGATTGAACCAATAACCCATTGGCCCTATCCGTTTATTGGGTTGATATATGGGCCGGTTTAAAAACTATGATTTAGATAATTTTCTTATCTCGAAGGATTTGAAGATTTTTATCACTCGTAGTGGAATTGTTTCATCGAGGTTCCAAGAATTCATATTATTTACTCACGGTGATCGATGTTAGGGGTTAGTATACTAGTCCTGAGAAGGTTTCATCAATGCTGATGCATCGATATACACACTTCCTAAAGTGTTGTGACCCTACGAAAAATTGATTGATGAGTTGGATGTGAGTTGGCCACATATAGTCGATGCATGAATTCCAATTAATCAACTTACATAAATGAGATATGTTATGATCTTTTGTTTACTTGAGATATTCTGCCTGTTTTTTGAAATAATTCTATTCTACTATGGATTAATTGTTCATGTATCGTAAACCTGAGATAGTTACAATGTCACATGTTTTATTTCAAAAGTTATATACATTATTTAGTTAGAATTGTGACCTACCTATTTTTATCCATTTTCTAAACCTTGTCTACATTTGAGAATTTTCTCTACTTGGCTTGCTTGCTCACCATTTCCTTACATTTTTCAAATTTTGGTAGAAATGAGGACACCACAATAGGTGAGCATGTGGAATTGGAGTTTGAGACGGAGCATGATGTGGATCCAGCTTTCGAGGATTAGAATTATGCTCATCTACTTTATTTCATTTGGTTTCTGATGGATGAATGTTATTAACATTATTTGGTTGGATGGGATATTTGATTTGTTCAAAGGTTTTGGTTGTAACCTTGATGATTGAATTATGTTTAAGATGATTGAATGTTATTAACATTATTTAGTTTTGGAATTTGTTTTGATTTAAATTTTATGGTATTTAGTTATGTTCTCATAGTTTGATGGTTAATAGGTAGTTCATACCTACTTTTGTAAATTTGGGCGTGACGAATTTGGTATCAAAGTTTAGAATTAGGTTTTACATGGGAGTTATAAGTTACGGGCTAGCAAGTGGATGATTTGGTATTGGATTGAAGGAACTTAGGTTGGAATATTTTTGGGAACTGTGTTGCATTTACGATAAGTGTTAGTTGATATTTAGTTAGCTTATTGATTGTTTATTTATTCGAACTTACAAATTTTAGCTAGCTTGAAAGAATTGTTGTTATATTTGGGATGGATATACTAGTTGCCTACCATGCTGTTATAGACTATTTTAGGAAATTAATGATATTTTATTTTTGGTTAGTAAGGGATGCTAGGTATGAATCTTTAGGAAAATGAGTTTACCAATATTACATAAGGTCATGAGATATGAATGATGATAAAAAAAAAAGTTTTCTTTTGTGAGGCATAAGTTTTGGGATAGAATTGATCATATTAGTGTATTTGTGATGGAAATGTATGAGAACAGATTGAAGTGCTATAGATTACGAGATCGAATGGGGTTATGGTTTAGGGTTATGTTGATTTTCAGTATTATGTTTGACCTTTAATGATACTTAAATTTTTGGAAGTCAACAAGGCGTTATGACTCTTTTTCTTGTATAGAGTTTGGACAAGAAAAATAAGATTTAGTTTGAAATATGAAAATATAGTGGGTTCCTGAGGTCACTATACAAAAGTTGTCTCTTATGTTTATTGCTTGGGGTTAAAATGTAAATACTATTTTGTGTTAAGGTCTAGAATGTGATAATGAAAATAGAAAGGGGTAGGAGTGAGAAATCAGATAATGTAAAAATTCGGAACATCGTTGGAGGATGGTCGAAATAG